CAGTCATCTAAACCCGTGTCTAAGACCTCCGGACGAGTTAGTGCTGACAACCATCCCGTGAACTCTAGCATTTAGAGGTTGTCACCGTGGTATTGACACGATAGGGCTGAGAGGTTATGATTGTGCACATCTTTTGCACCAAAAAGGTCCCGACCCCACTGGTCTTGAGAGTAAGCGATTCATTCTTGCTTTGCATGTCATATCATACCCCGGTGAGGACCTTTGTTGCCTTTCCATTTGTTCCTCGGACTTGAATTCCATGCATGGTTGGTTGTGGTCGATAAGTGGTTTTGTTGAGACTTGCATTTATCCATGAATAAGTTGAGAACTTTTCATTTGCCCGTTTTGGTGGCTTTGAATGTCGTTTGTGGTGGATGTCGGAATTGCTTGCAACGGTTCATGTGTTGATTGTCAATAAACATAGAGAATTCCCACATTTGTGTAGGTTGAAATATTACCGTGTGCGTGAAATGGTTTGCTTGGGGACAAGCAAACGTCTAAGTGTGTGGGAGTGATTAGGGCCTAATTCCACATATTTTGCTCCCGGTTTGATTAGATTTTTGTGTCAAATTCGCTCATTAGAGGTTGGTTTTACGCGAGGTTCTTCGTGTTTGAGTACTTTTCAGGGTTTAACAGGTGGAACCAGCCTCGGAGTCGAAGGATTGGCGAAAAGGAACGAAAACGGGGAGAAGAGGGAAAAAATGCAAGTTCACGGCTAAAGGCAAGAGTTCACGGTCGTGCAAGAACGTGAAGAAGTGGAGTTGATCGTGAAGCACAAGGCGTCCAGAGCCAACTTGAAGGTTACTGACGCAAGGCGAGTTCACGGTCACTAAGACCATGAACACAAGTAGTTGGCCGTGAGCTGCCGTGATCGATGCGGAGATTTTTGGAGCAAGGCGTGAGTTCACGCATGCGTTTGAGAGTTCACGACCATGAACTCTGCCCCTCTCATGTTTAAAAGCTAAGCTGCAAAGAAAGAGAAGGGAGAGCCACTTTTTGTGAGAGAAACACTTCTTCTGCATTTTAGAGAGAGAACCAGAACCAAGAGAGGAGTTAGGGCTTGTCTTCAAAGTAGGTCTTGGGAAGATTTCCCCAAGGAAATCTCAGCTCAAGGTTGAAGAAGAGAGGAGGCATCCCCACGAGATGGTTTCTACCTTTTTCTCCTTTGTTCTTCCCACTTCTTCCATGGACTAGTCTTCCTCCCACTTGGGTATAGTGAAACCCTAAACCCTACTATGTAGTTTTCTTGTATGTGGTTTGAATGATTGATATTGGGCATTGTTCAATTTAATGTTTGAGGTATTTTTCACCATGATTTGGCATGCTTGTGCTTAGCAACTTAGGGGTTGTACATATTTTGTGCTTAGCACCCTTAAGTTTGTGCATTTAGGTGCTAGTAATCTAATTTGCCAACTTAGTCTAGTTTAGAGAGGAAAATTCCTCTTTTCAAGGGAGACTCAATCGAGTTGGTTTTTGTTCCGCTTTCCAAGCCACCTAAACTAGTTCGAGTTAGGGCAATCCTCAATATTGAATTGAACAAGTCTATTAATCGTGGCTAAACCGTCCGACCTTAGAGTTGAGTGAGGAAGTAAGCCGATTACCGATTGTATAAACCGAGAGGGTCGAGTGACACGACCTTTCATCCTCACCTCGGTTTAGCAATCGAGACTGTGGTCCCCGACCACATACGCTTTCCTCTACGGTTCACGATTAGTGTGCCCAGGGCAATTGTTCCATCCCACGTAGCATAGTAGCGGTTTAGGGGGAAGCGAAACCCAAGTGACTTTCCCACAAAAGAGTTTTCAAACCAAATTACTTTTGCTTTCTTTCATTTCAATTGGCAAACCTTTAAAGCAAAGTTTTATCGCTAGATAGTGATTTCTACAACCGAAGTAGGGGTAGACGGATCGGCCCTGGTCGATATATAGATACTTATCATATACTACGCCCGATTAGAGTTTAAAAACTTGGGCTCTAATTGGGGTTTAATTGTAGTGTAGATTCGCGCGAGTCACACTCCTCACCCTATATCGTCTGGGCAATCCCGAGGGAGTCGATTGGATCGAGCTCCAACGATATAGGGGTGCCCTAGGTTAAATAGAGCACCACCCGTCCATCATTTCACCTTTCCGGGTCCGTCCCTGAGGGAGTTCATCTGCTAACGGTAGGGTAGTGATTCGATCGAGCTAGGATGGTACTCAACATCGATCCTACGATGGAGATAGGAGGATTCAATTATTATTGCTTGCTTGCCTTGTGCTATAGTCGGTCGGCGGTTATACTTGGTCGGCGATCGGGACGTTGTAGTTAGAACAAGTCAGTTACAGGTTGTTTCGGGTTATGAGCGATCTCAGAAACAATATTAAGCAAGCTTCATATTTTTTTTAAAGAATACAAATCTTCACATATACATGACAATAGTTTACCTAACATATGTCAAGTAACTTATTCTCAAATCTTCCCATGCTAATAAAATGGAATACAAATTGCACAAATTGACAAACAACAATCACAAGAGTAATACTACTACAAGAAACACATGATGATATTTGATTATCCGTAAACTCCAAATATGTCTTTCAAATCCTTATGGATTTTTTTCACCAATTTATGAGTGATTTTATCATTTTTGCGAGTGACATATGAACTGGAATGGGTCTAACGGGTCGACCCACTAATCAACCCAACCCGACCAAAAAATTCACAGGTTCATCGGGTTCAGGTCATTCGGGTTTCGGGTTGTAAAATCTTCTATTTTTTGGGTGGTTTTGGGTAAGGTCAATGGGTCGGTTATAATTTGCCAGGTCTATCTGCAATCATGAGGTTATTTCATTCAAAAGAAACCAAGTTTTATATGTTGAAGATCAACATTATTGTTTGAATAGTTCAATTCGATAACGATCTCAGCTCCTACATATAAAATCTATGTAAAAGTGGTATGATTGAAGCTATTCCTTATGATAACACTAAACAGAATAATCTTTGTTTACTGGAAATTAACCACAAAACATTTCATATAAGGAAAATGATGATACTGAAAATGAGTATCATAAAAAAGCAACAAAAGTATAGTTATGTATTTTTAATCAACTCAAAAATCAACCTAGAAAAGCAATCAAATGAATTGATGGTTAAGAGGCCACACATTACTGTCAAAGAAACTAAATAACCCACCAATCACTGTTAGCTCTCCAAGCAAGAATACTCAACATTCCATATTTACCCCTTCAAAAATTGCTCTACAGTAAAAATATAGGTGGAGGAGGTTAGGCGGTTGTCGAGGCTGGTGGGAAGGTTTGGAGAGACGGCGATAGTTGAGCCTTTAGTGGGCTGGGACACTATTTAGACCAGTTTACATTAGTTGCGTCTTTTCCATTCGCGTCCAACAAACCAACATCACTCAATATTTCCATATTTACCCCACTTAAAGACACATGTGCTAGATATTCACTCATAACTTATGTGTTAAAAAATATTGTTGTTTTATGGTAGTTATAAAATTTAATTCTATGTTAAGAATTCTGCATTGCTACACATTCAATATTGTAATTTGATATGCAATATTTGCACCAATGACGTTAGGGTTACGATTTTAAAATTATTCTCTTTATAAAAACATAAATATAATTAATTATTAAACTGTAATTAAAAATTCATAAAAAATAATAAAAATAAAATGTAATTAAAACAATCAAATATGAAAATAGAAGTGTCAATACCAAAAGTATATTCATGGGAGATTTTGTGGGTTAGCTAACCATGGTGAAAAATTATGATTTTTCAGATATAAGCTTTTTGTATGTTTTTAATTTAAAAAGATTAAACAAATTTGTTTAGTGTAAATGATTATGTTTCTTGTATTTTTTCAAAGAGACCACAGATAAAATCCAATTACTTATGTATTTTTTCTATAATTACAAAAATAATAAATGACTATGAAGACGAATCAATCCTTCCTACTTCGCTATGGATACAAGGATTTTGTAATGAGGGAAGTGTCTTTCCCTTCTCAATATTATATTAGATGTAGCGAAAGTCACGCGGTGGTTGAGTGTTTAGTGGGCTGGGCAGCTATTTGAGCCCATTTACATTAGTAGCGTCTTTTTCATCCACGTTCGGCAAACCAACAACACTCAAGCTTTACATATTTGCCCCTCCGAAAATTCCTATGGCGTAACAATAGAGATTGGGGAGGTTGGCTTGTTGTTGAATCCAATGAGAAGTTTGGAGAGACGACGATGCGTTTAGTGGGTCGGGGCACTAATTCTGCCCGTTTACATTATTAGTGTCTTTTTCATCCGTATTCGGCAAATCATCATCACTTAACATTTTCATATTTACTCCTCTTAAAGACACATGTTCCCCATATTCATCCAAAACTTCTATATTAAAAAAATATCGTTGTGTTATGGTAGTTAGAAAAATTAGGTCTATGTTAAGAATTCTACATCTTCTGCACATTTAATAGTGCAATTCGATATACAATATTTGAACCAATTACATTTGGGTTACGATTTAAAATTATCCTACTTTTATAAGATAACTAAAATAAATTATTAAACTCGAATTAGAATAAACAAAATATCAAATCAGAGAGTATCAAATACCAATAAAAAATATTTACGATAGAGTTAGTGGGTTAGCTAACCATAGTAGAAAAATCTTATGATTTTTCAAATTTAAGCTTCATGTATGTTTTAATTTAAAAAGATTTAACAAATTTTGTTAGTATAACTGGTTGTGTTCTTATCACCTCTTGAAGAGACCATTGATCAAATTCCATTATTGATGTATTTGTTCATTTAAATAAGAAAATAATAAATGATTGTGAAAACAAATCAATCCTTTCTACTTTCACTCTAAATGTAGAAGATTTGAAATGAGGGTTCGAGTTTTCCTATCTTTCTTTTATGTGCAGATAGATGTAGATAGAAGATGGCTCAAGTGTACGTGTGTATCCTTGTCCCCATGGATGGCAAGCTTTGGTGCAGTTGTTTTATTTAGCTACTGCTCCGGCTGTTTCTATGGGCAGCGAGAACATGGAGTCCTCCATCAACATGAAGATTGATCATTGTACTGTAGTTGACCGGTTTCGTTTCATCACTGAGTTTGAAAACAAAGCTCCCTACCAGAACAGCTGAGAATATCTTCATCTGTCTGTAAGCGAATTCCTTCCCCAGACAAATGCGCGGCCCCGCCTGTTGAAAAGCACCACCATCACCACCAAAACTTGTATTCACAATTATTGCAGTCAAAATCGGGATTTTGTCGTAAAATCATAGAATTTTAGGATTTTACTTAGGGATTCCGATCCTAATTTTAATATGAAATCGACGGACCTTAAAATTGTTCAAAATCGGGATTAAAATCGTACCAAAATCGAGATTTTGATCCTATGTGAGCAAAATAGGCAGTTTGAGCCAATTAAAAAGAAGCATAACTGATTCGGTGGAAAGGTTAATGATGGGGATCTTCTCAGATATTTTTCCTATTAAAAGAACATTTGAAAAGAAAAAAATAACATCATTAGGTTTGGTCAACCACTTTTCCTTCCCCTTGTTAAACTCATCGGTAAAAATAGTTGTTATAATATTGTAAGTACGAAAGAATTAACATCATTATTAACAAATTAATTGATTAATGAATATATTTCTACCAAACCAATGACATTAAAATTCTTATTGGAGTTCACTTATTCTTAGTTTTAAATCATGCTTAGTAGACGATGTAGGAATACTACTTTGAGTCAAAATACCTAGATACAACATGAGAAACAAGAGTCAAACCCCATGAGCTCTATCCCTTCATCATAAATTATTTTGAGTTACGCATTAAATAACAATTAAAATGATGATTTTGGAACATTAATATTGAAAATTATCACTTTAAATTTTATATGTCTTTGTGTTATTAATGATTTACCTTATTAATATTATTTATATGTTAATTTCTATGTGGTACTTAAAATCCTACGATTCTACGATTTCGATTTTACCCCAGTTTTCGATTTTAGATAAAATTCCGATTTTGACGGCTTTGTTCACAAAGGTAAAGAAAAGGTGAATTGAACAACTTGGGATATCATATAAGCTTATTGACCTGGAAGGCGGTGAACTTGAATGGACTCTCAGGCTGGAAAACTCCCTTGTCGTTCAGCCATCTTTCTGGTTTGTATTGCTCACAATCATCGCCCCATATGGCCTTCATTCTTCCCATTGCATAAGGTTGGTATGCCACCATATCCCCTTTCATCACACTGAAACCATCTGGGAACGTATCATCAGAGAAACAAACCTTGGCGTCCTGTCAAGGCAGCAATTATAACTACAAAATTCTTAAACCGATACATGAACAAAAACTGTGAACCAACCATATCTCACCACTGGTACAGCCGGATAGAGCCTGAGAGTCTCGGTTATAGCTGCATGAAGATAGTGCATCTTCTCAAGAGCTTTGTCAGTCACACTTTCAGCAAATTCAACGAAGTTGCTCAACTTTTTCGTGTCAGCAGTAGTACTTGTAGACGTAGTGGTTACAGCTTCCCAGATTTCTTCAGCAACTTTGACCTGCACATCAGGGTGCTTGCACAGCATGTATATGAACCAAGACAGAGTGGCAGCAGTTGTGTCTTTTCCAGCTATCACAAAGTTTAGAATGATGTCTCTCAAGTATGTTGTATCTTGCTATTGATCAGCTTATAGACGAAATCATTGATGATTTTAACCTTCTTCTTCAATGTAGCTTCACTTCCAATGTTGAAGAACTTCTTCACCTTCCAAAACACATCAACATACCGCCAAAGGCTAATGGCACTAGCATCATCAAAAGCATTGCTGAACTCCCTGCCTTCCTCGTTCGACCCACACATACTGTCGAGTTCAACCCCAAATGCAACCTTAAATATGGAATCCAGAGTTGATTTCATGAACAGATCCTGCAACAAAGGCACACAATGAACCAACAACCACCCGCTCATGATTACTTTTCTTGCTAAGAAAAGGAACAAAGTAAAAGTTGGGTTATATCTATCTATGTATCTATCTAGCTAGCTCCCACTCACCTGTATATCCATGGGCTGATTGCACGTCGCAGCTTCAGAGATAATATCGGCAAGTTTCACGACATTTCTCCGGAACACCACGCTGCTGAAGTCCCTCATAACCTTAGTGGAGAACTCGTAGCTTGAAACCTTCCTCTGGTGCCGCCACTTGTCCCCATCCACCGTGAAAATCCCGTCGCCCAGAAGATCACTCAAATTGCTGTAATTGTAGTCTCCCTGCAGAAATCAGTCACAGGAGCAAACCCACCATCCAAAAACTCAACCTTTCGCATATATATTTGCCACCGGAACAGGCTAATGGAGAAGGGAGAAAGAAAAGCAAATTAAACCTTGCCGTAATTTTCGAAGTTGGTCTTGAGGCTGTACTCCACATTAACAGGGTCGGAGGTGTAAATCTCGGTTCTGAAAGCTCCGAGAAGGCGGTAAGAGGAGTGTTTGGAAGCGAGGCCGGTCATGTAATGGTGCAACTTGTTGAAGTGGAGGAGCTGGTTCAGGACTGTGCCGCCAATTGGGTGGTATTTCTTCTTCTTCTGGTTTTGCAGCTTGCTTGGGAGGATATGGAGCAGCAAAACAAGAGACGAGATCACAGCTAGAGCTGTGAGCCCAACCGAGTTGCACAGGAACTCCATTTCCAGAGTTGGGCAAGGACCAAGGAGAAGGACAAATGTGAATGAAATGAGCTCAATAGATCGCACTAGCTCATTCATAATTGAATAACGGTGAAATACACTTTCATAACCATAATTTTCATGTTTGTGACAAATATAACTACAACTATCGAAAAATACAAAACAGCCAGAAAATTGGATAGTAGTTTGACAAATTTAACTATTTTTGTTAGAAACTATAACGGTGTTAGCGACTCTGTCAGTTACATTTATGTTAGGCTTACTAGGATCCAAATTATCGTCCACGTCAGCGTCATATAAGCATAATATTACCAGTAGATGACAAGTCATAATTTAATAAAAAATATATACTTAATTTTTTTCCTTATTCTTGCCGGCCTAGCAGAAACCCACACCGCCATCTCCCCTCGTTCTCCTATTCTTTCTTCTCCTCCTCCTGTCCCTGGCCAACGCAACAACGATCTTCTTTCTTCTCCTCCTCCTCTCCCCGACCAACGCAACGGAAACATTCTTTCTTCTTCTCCTCCTCCTCTCCCCGACCAACGCAACGACGACCAATATGAAATCTCAATTCGCCATCTCCTCGCGGTGACGTCTCCAATCCGAACCGTGCCCAGCAGAACCGTGCCCAAACGTTAAAGTCATGGCTATACAAGTATATTTTGCCTTGAATAAATTGCTATCAGCTCGCTAAAAGTCTAAATTAAGGTACAATTAAAATGTTAAATTTACTAGATGGGATGGGAGAGCCGCGCGATAATAAATTGGATGACCATTATTTATTTTTAGACTAAAAGCCCAAAACATGGCTTTCTTAAAAAAATCTCCACCGCCTCGCGCATGATAGATATGCTTGGTCTGGCTTTTAAAAGTGATTTTCGATTTCAAAAGGTGAAGTAGGGCCAAACACCTCTAAAAGCTGAAAAGTGATTTGTATAACATAGGAGCTTCTGCGAAAAACTATTCTGAAAATACAAGATTATCCTTACCATATTTTAATTTTATTGCAAAAAATATAATTTTCTTTCATTTATATTATTTTAAAATTAAAATAAATTATAAAATCAAATTATTTAAAATAAATAAATCTAACAAGATCCATTTTGAGTACTTTTTATTGTTTATAATTTTGATTCATATTTTATATTATAAATATTTTATATTTATTTTAAATAACCTCGTATATTAAAAAACACTTATTATATGGAAACTCTTCATGTCTTTGACAGCAGAGATGTCATTTTTAATGAGAATTATTTTCCTTTCAAACTTCCACAACAACCTGTAAACCATCGTACCACACAACCAAACACCACCATTCCCATTCCAACACACTTCCCTGGAAAAACATTTGCCACTCTCATTCTGCCCACAGACCACAATGTTCATGAAACTGTGGACCCTGATTATGCTCCTTCCCTTACTTCAGAATCTGATATGTCAGATGACATGTTTGAGGGCGTTCTGAGCATTATTGCTAGCCATTGATTGCTCGAAATTAACATAGAATATATAGTGAAAGCATTTTTTCATGTATAAACGGGTATAAATGGGTATCCGTTATCCGTCCTGTACGGATAGCGGGTATCCGTTAACCTTTATGGGTTTGGGATATGTGATGGTCTTTGTCGTCCAAATGAGATTGGGTACTCGTTTCAAATGCGATGAGTATCTCGTCCCGTCCCGTCTCGTTGCTCACCCCCTATGTTTAACCAATGTGATAAATTCTATTTGATGCTATCAACAACAAGAAGATTACTACTCATCTCATGAAACAGTTTAACACCTAACCTTTTAATGTGATCTCTTGCTTTACCGGTTGACCTTCGACTCAACTATAAAAGCATTTGACATAAATTAAAGCAATGAAAATGTCTATTATATTTTATATCCATCTACAAAATTATTAATTAATAAACATAACTTATGTTTAATTTTGTTATGATATGTTCAATAAAAAATAAAAAATATATGAACAAAACCGTAAATGAAATAATAAAATAAATAGGCAAAATTCAATTAATATCCAAATCCAAAAACTTAATTAATGTTTATTTTATATTCATTTTAATTTGAAAAATATGAGAAATCAAAGGACAAACTTCTTTGATAATATATCACACCAACAATGTAATATTTTGTATGTACTACTGTAAATATGTGTACTAATACATTCATATATTTATATACTAAAAGATAACAATAAAATTCTAAATAGTAAAGCTTCCTTTTTCAATAAAATTCATCAATTACTTTAAGCTAGCCATCAATTAATTCCTGTAAGTTGTTCTTTAGAATGTTTATGAGGGAACTCAATCGCATGATACAAAGATAAAACTTGATTTTTTTGTATTTATAATGATCATGGGGAGTAAACTATATAGAGGAACATTACAACTATCCTCACTACTATTTAGATTTTTTAATATTGAATTAATATTGTATGATATTTTAAAGTGGAGGCAGAGTGTCTCTATGGCTAATTTTGGTTATATATGTGTTAAAAGGTTAAAGATAATACACAATTATATATGTATAAATTGGTAGTATAAGACTACCACTACACCTTAATTATATGCTCATGATATGTAACAGTCTCTCATTTTCATTGATCTAAACTATGTTTAATTTTTAGGTGTTTATTTACCAAATATGTGAATTTTTCACTCTTCGACCTTATTCAACTACAGTTACTGTCGTGCTGATGTTATTTCAATATACAAAGTTCATAATAAAAAAAATAAGGGTTAATATTTCCGTATGGCCTGAACTTTGACCAAAATAAACATTCTGGTCAATCTTTTCAATCTATAACATCCCGGCCCGAACTATACACCAAAATAAACAATTTGGCCAAACCCGATGTTTGACCGTTAACTTGGACGGTCAAACGCGTTGACTAACGGTCAATGCGCCACGTCACTGCGAAGTCAGAAGATCTGATAAATATTTAATTTTTTCGTTTTTTATTTTTGGTTTAACTAAGGTATTAGATGATTTTTTTAATTTATAATAATTTAAAATTAGGGAATGTGTGGAAATTGTGAATTATTTTAAATATTTTATGCTAACTTGGCAGTGACATGGCGCGTTGACTAACGGTCAACGCGTTTAACCGTCCAAGTTAACGGTCAAAAGTCAGATCTGGGCAAATTGTTTATTTTGGTGTATAGTTCGGGCCAGGATGTTATAGATCGAAAAGATTGGTCAGGATGTTTATTTTGGTCAAAGTTCAGGCCATACGAAAATATTTACCCAAAAAATAACTATGCACAACAATGGTATCTTTGACTTTAATTATTGAGTGACAAGATAGATATTTATTTGAATGACAGACAGGGATTATACATATCAATTATGGACCAATTCACCATCTATTGAGCATTCTACTACCGCCAAAATGTTCAATTACTATCTTTGTTCAGGTATACATTCATCAAGTGGAGAAATATTGAAATAGCTCTGATTCGATCCTTACATATAATAATTTGAATTATCTGCGTGAATTTGTATCACGAGGCCGATAGAAATGTTACACGCTAACAATATTTGACCCAGACATATAGATGCTGGAAAGACAAAATCGATGAAAAGTTATGTACTATATATGAAGTTGAAAACTGTTGGTCAATCAAAGAGCAGATGATCGTGAATATGATCTTTAAAATGGCGATGAAGTAGTGATGATAGACCATTATTCGCACATGTTTTGACCACCATTCTTGAACCGTTTGAGAGTCGATTCTCGTATTTTAGGCCGATTTCACCCTAAGTTGTTCGTTTATTAAGGCCGGGTATTAGGAGCTGCCCCTTTTAAAGGGAAGAAAGCCTCTTTTGAGGGAGAATCCGATTTTTAGAGAAAGAAAGCAGAAAACATAGAGGGAGCGACGAACAGAACTTCCAAGTGCCCTAAATCGATCTCCAACACTATTGGAGCTCGGTGGAAGCTTGGAGAAGTGTCGATTGATTCCCAGAAGCAGATTTTCATCCTTCATAGAATGATTTTCGCATCTGAAGTAGATTTCTCTACTCTCTCTATGGAGTAAACTCTCTCACTCGCCTGAGTATGAAGAACCCTAGATTTGTATGTTAGGTTTGGTTGTATGAACCCGAGTACATGTTCTTTGATATTGATTATATTCAGTTGAGGCATGATTTTCTGAATTGCATGAATCCTGATGAAATTCCTGTAATTCCTACTTTGACCTAGAAAGAGAATATCTCCCAAGGTTGATAGAGCACCCTTAATTGAAGGTAATGAATTGACGACTTTAGTCGAGGAGTCGGTCACTATTTTGTACTGGATGTACTCGAGTAGGGGAGGTTTGGTACGTTAGGGCCTCTGTCTATTTACTCCGGTGGAGGTTAGTCGCCCGCTGGGGATTCATATTGAGAGGGTCTGGAGACCTTTAGTCGAGACTTCAGACTGTCTAAGAACCTTCCGCAGTATAATTATCATTGAAACTGGACTGGGTGAATTACAACTTGGCTTAACTGCGGTCTAGGGGGAACCATATCTAGGTGACCTCTCTCAAACTTCGAACACAACCTTTACTGCTTTTGTTTGCTAGTTTAGTTGCACTTCACTACAGTTGAACCGCTAAATAATAAGAATTTCACGTAGTAGTCATCACACCTAGGACCCCGGTTGACATTTAAATCTAAACCTGCTATACTATGCATTAGTAGGTGGTTAAACTTGGCCACTTTCTAGTGTGACAGTATAAGCGAGTCAAGTGACTTTTATTGTTTTATATGATTATTACTTCTATCCACAATCAAACTAAATGCGACAACCCTCCTATCATACAAAGTTTGAATAATAAACTAGATCATACCCTTACCCGTTGGCCAGTTGTAGTATGATAAAGGTTAAATTTAAGTGATCTTCTCTTCTCTTATATTCATGACATGATCATGGAAAATAGAAAATAGAAAATGAGCATCCACCATCGTAAAGATTACTAAGATTGTAATTGGTGTTTTCTTTGCAGATTCATAAAAGAAGGAATGATAAAATAGCATATAAACTCATAATAGACTTAATGACATGATATTAAAGGTATTCCAAAATGACCAGTATTACTATCTCTTTAGTCTTTATTATCAAGGATCTTTATCATCAACATATCGAAGCAAATTCGAAGACAAAACATAATCATATATAAAGCTAGTTTTAAGCCCGCCCGTTGGGCGGTATGACTTATGTATTTGTTTATTTTTGTTGATAGGTATTTTTTTTCTTTTGTTTTTTTTTAAAGTTACTTTTGCTCTTACGGTTTGGTGTTTCTTATATATTTGCCAATATTTCCCCTCTACACTCCTGCGATACTATTATTTTGTGTTTATGTCCTCATTGGTGGTTGATTTATTAGCTTCAATGTGCATGTCATGATCTTTGGTGGCAAAATATGTTTACAAAGTATATCTATTAGCTCATTTCTCACTCTAAAATCTAGGTTAGATCCTATCATTAACGTAACACATGGAGAGCCTAAGTATGAAGAAAATAAACTTATGGCACAAATCATAAAACAACTATGAAGCCTTAATTATGATCTTTTTCAAATATCATTACGTCAACGTGTTGCTCAAAAATTTAATAACTATCACAATTAATAAATTATTCGCTTGATACTAAGGTTGTCAAACCGGTTTATGCTAGTGTGCCGGTTTAGCAAGTGGAATGGTTCGACCGGTGGCACATACCGGTTTGTGTCGGTTCATGCCGGTCAAGATTACAAATAAAATTATAAATACTTATATTTAAGCATGACATTTAACGTCAATATCTAAACATTTATACTTGAATCCAACAAATGACATCAATATTTAACTTTTATACTCATAATATAAATAATAAAATAATTTTTATCAATTAAATTCACTCAAATTTGATCATTTTACTTAGAGATTCGTATATCGATCATGCCGGTCATACCGGTGGTGTCACGTCGGTTTTATGACCTTAATCGGTTGAACCAGGTAGAACCGGTGACATGCCGGCCGGCCTGACAACCATGCTTAATACACATATATATGGTTGTATGAAATAAAACACACTTACATATTTTATATAGGAAAACATCTCTTGTCACGTTAGGTGACAAAACACCTAATGTCAATTTATTCGCGTATTTTTGTACTCATTCACGCCATTTTGTGTGTATTCACGTAATACTATGTTTATTCACGTAAGAGTGTAAGTTATTCACGTAAATGAAAATTCAGACTTTTTCCCCCTAATAATTTGTATTGACTATATTTTATGGAATTAAATTTGGATTCTCAATTAGTCTGTAAAAATATGTTGCATTGATCATAATCTACACAATGACATCCATTTTGATATATTTTAACGTCTAAAATTTAATTTTAAAATGGCGTGAATAAATAACAATATGCGTGAATTGACACCAGGTTGCGTGACTAAACAATATCGGTTGCGTGAATTAGCAACACTCTTACGTGAACAATGTCAATATGGCGTGAATAACGAAAATATGGCGTGAATAAATAAAAAAATGCGTGAATTAGGTGTTCTTGTCACCTAACGTGACAAGAAACTTGATTCTTTTATATATAACTTAATCAACAGTATAATTTATAGCTGAAAAGTAAAACTGCAACCCCTATTCAAATTTTCCTGCGCATAGAGTGATTTTAGGAGTCTGACGTGGCAGGGTGGTTACATGGGATTAAATTAGAAATCCTCGCGTGACAGGAGAGATAAGAAACCGTCGGTTCCCACTACTTTTTTTGCGGCTGAAATCATCTTCCGTCACTGCCAACGAAGGTTGTTCTGCAGAGGGAGTGGAGGTTGCGAGGCTTTAGGAGGAAGCGCTTGAACTCGGAGTCGAGGCGACGCTCGAGGGCTCCATTGTGTGGGGTGGTTATGTGTGGTTGCCGATGGATTACTCTAGAGCGTGGGGAGTGCTTTCTCGACAAGGTCACCGAGCTCAGTGTAGTGGGAGTCGGGAGGGAGACAAGGACGGAGTTGAAGTTACTTTTGTCCAGCGGAGGTGGAATCAGGGTAAGCTGAAGATTGAGAATGGTGGCGCTGCGGTTTAGGGGAAGAAGAAGTGGGCAATGTGGCATTGGAAGTAATAAGGAAGAAGAGGAGAGAAGAGACACCATAAAGGTGTTCGTCCCATGGTGATTGGCGGATTGTCAAATTCCTCTCTTCGATGGTGAGAAAAGTTTTGAACTATAGAAAGTTAGAAACACATGTGTTTATCTCTCTGTTTACTTAGGTTTTGATTTAAGTTTTCATTCTGATTCATTGGATTCCACGGGGATCTGACAGTAGCGATCAGGTGATGCATACCAAGTATTCTCCTGGGGAAGGACTCTCTTTGTGGCTGTAAGGCTTGCTGATTGTGGATGAAGAAGATGGATCTTTCCAAGGAAATAGAGAATATGAAGTTGTGGATCCGAATTAGGCCCGAGGAATTCCTTAAGTATGTCATCTCGATTTTTTTTTTGTTTACTTCACAAAGAGTATCTCACGGTCTTCCTCTTCTTTGTCCCATATATCATTTAGGGGGAGAATGGATGCTTCAGGTTCAAACAACATAGATTTTCGTTGGAGATTCATGGTGGAGGCGACGAACCCAAATCAAACAAATAGAAAAGGAACCATAAGCCCTATAAGCAGTGGTCCCTCCAATTATTTTGTGATTGAGTTTGTAGATTTCCATTCTTTTATTCTTGCCAGTTTACTCTGCTGTTAGCTAAGTTTCTTTGGGTTCTCTCTATTTTCCTCCACATATGACATTATTTAGCCTCTTTTTAGGAAGCTGTTAGTAGTGGTGGGTGATGAACCCATTGGACCAGCAATGGAGATTCGTGTTGTGATGAAGGAGTGTTAGATTCCATGAAAATCACCAGGGCTTATCGTGATTGTTGGAAACTAATTTCTGGTAAGTTTTGTTGTAGATGAGGCCTCCCACGGTGAGATAGCTGTCAGAACTCAGAACTATGACTGTTTCAAAGCAGCCTCAAGATGGGAATTTGGCTTATGGTTTCCTGATCATCGGGAAGATGAGTACCTTACTAAAATCGTTTATGCCGTATTTATTCATCATGTTTTTTTTAAATATGCTAACAGAGTCTTGCTGTGTTGCATCTTGATGAAAGGAGGAAATCGAAGATCATAGCTGATGAAAATGGTGATTCTTTTTGTTTGTCTTTTCAATGACAATTTCAAGATCTATATCAGATTTGAGTTCTATCTGACAATTAAAGTTGGAGAACAAATAACCCATTTTAGAGCCTTTACTTATTCTGCTTTTGCTCATCCTTATAGCCTATTCTTCAAAGAGTGGTAAGAGAAATGAACACGCATTACATTTTATTATTCTCTTTGGAGCAGCATTAGTAGTTTTGTATCCTTTGAGGCTTGAGCTGCCTTCTTTGAGCTCTTTGGTCATGGACGAGAATCACAGGTAAAGAAAAGAGAACTAATTGATTAGAGTTGTTGGATTAAAGATACACATTTTAAAATGAGGTTTGTCCAAATAATGGACTCACTCTCTAAGCTTCTCTCTTGGTTAGTTGGTCTATGATTACCATTGTGAGTTCACAGGTCAACGCGTACGTACAAGCAACAATATCCTTTTCATGACGCAGCTCAAAGACTCAAAGTTGTTCCTTGGAGGTTGGAAGGAGAGGGATCGATGGGACAAAAGGTTAAGGGGATAATGCTGGTTTTCTATGGGGTTGCAGGCTGTCGATAAGTGCACCCGTATCATTTTCATGGTGCAGGTGAACCGCTGAAGAACCTTCTGCAGTAGAAAAGACAATAAAGCAGTTTGGAAGACAGATTAGGCTAAATAAGTACATCTTCCACTATATATTGTTTTCGAACACTGTGTGAATAATGAGTATAGAGTAGAAACAATAGACTGAGTTTGCTTATGTATTTTCGTTATTCTTGAACACTCAATCTCTTGAAACTGGCGAAAGAGCAGCTACCGGTGGCTTCTGTTCGCTGAGAGCTGCCTTCACCAATTTGATGCGGAGACCTTGACCTCTATTTGATGAGGTCATTCCACTCTGCCTTTTTATCCTGCTACAATTGTTCCATTCTTTTTGGTTGTTTGCTGTAATTTGAGTCTCATCAATTGCGTTTGGGTTTATGGTTTGCGTTTTCATTCTAATCCGGTGGATTACATAATTTATTTGCTAATGTCTTAGGTGCCAGTTTGCTATGGTGTTGCGGTATGATAGATTAAAATGAGTTTATGGTAATGTCTTGCTTTTGTTCGTTTTTTGTTTGGTGTTAATAATCACTTTGGTCACTATATTTTTCATTTTGGTTTTGTGCTGCTACTTCAAGCTTTATATGGCTATTTCAGTTTTTTTTTTTTTTTTGCGAGAACGCAGCATGCCAAAGAAAATTTCAAATGGGGTGTTTATGAAAAACATTAAAACTCCATGATTCTAGGTGAACACTAATTTTACTTTACAGGTGAAAGAGTGGAGAGCCGAAGGAAGAACCAGTAAAAGGGATGGTTGTTGTGAGATGATTATGTTTCCTTAATCACACCAACCAACAGGAATCAATCAATTCCATGAATAATATAACATATTTATGAAACAAACCAAATTTAACCCCATAAAGTAATTGGATGTTAGATAGATTTTCAGGGCTTCATAGTTTGTGATTTGTTTCTCTCATTTTGGTATGTTTCAGAAGATTTGGGGCTTAATACAACAATGACTTTTCCCTTGAGGTTGATGATTCTATCTAACCTATAGTTTTATAATTGAAATCCCTCGATTGTTAGACTCCTTAATCTAGGTTCCTCTTTGTCAGTTTGCATTTGTTAATGGGAAATTTTGAGTAAATACATTCCTCTATTGAGTTGTTATGGAACATAATACAATGCTTTTTTTGTTCGTTTGTGATGATACATAATACTTAGAATGGTTGAATGTATGTTTATGCTGATAAACATGGTTCACCAAACTGGCAAACTCTTAATCTTATGTTACTCAGATTCATGTGTTGTCTATTGAATTGTGCCGCGTGCTTGCAATGATACCTAATGTTTCTGCTGCCGCTATGAGAACTGTAAGGGTAAGCAACTTAGGTGGGTGAAAGTGTAGTCAGTGGAATGCTCGCTAAAAAGCTCAAAGTATGGTCCATGTAGATGTAGTGTTGTTGGTGCTATATATGCAAGCAGCGAGGGAACTAAAAGGGGGATGGAGACATGCATGTGTGTAATTGTAGTTAATTTGGATAATTTGTAAATGAGCTGTCAAACCTTTCAGGGGATATATGAGTTTCAAACTGGAATTTATGTGTTGGGTAAAGGGTTTATATAATTAATGGGGTAAAAAATTCGACGTGGATTGTGAGAGTACACAAAATGCTGCATAGTTTGGAGACTAATTACACTCCACCTACATGTGATGGTGGTTAATAATGATTAGCGTAATTGTGAATGCAACCATATTTAGCCAAATAAATTCATTCGAGTTCAGTTAGTTTTCTTCCATGCTTTCATTCATTAGAATTGTTTTTCTCACCTTGGTATCATTTGAGGGGATTTGTGGATTTAGCAGAGCAAACCTTTTTCCTTCTATCTAAGCTATTCTTCAAAAATAGTAATTGACAGCTCCCCAGAGCTTCTGTCTTCCTTGCTATATGGTGTTTACATTGTTCTTATTTCCAGTCTATATGTCCTGACTTCAAAGTATTCACTCTTCATGTTATCTGTCCAAACTCCAAAGGGAATCATGTACAAACCTATTAATTGAGAAAAAAAAATCCCAATCAAGTATAAAACTTTTCATCAAGGAATTGATTATGATAAGTGAGAACACCATTCATCAATAAGGTTCAAGGTATACAAATTAAACTCTCAATATATTAATTCATATGATTGCTTTAATACTAAGAATTGAGTTTTATTTATCATGTTTTAATAATATCAATCTCGATTATAAAAGTCAACTATTAGTTCCAAACAAAATCTATTTAACTATTTATCAAGATTAGGGGTGTCAGTTCGGGTCGGGTTCGGTTACCCGAACCAAAACCCGAAAAAACCAAAAACTCGAAACCAAAAATCACTAAAACTGAATCCGAAACCGATAAGGACTTGCGGGTTCCGGTTACCCGAAACCCGAAAATTCCTTATCGGGTTCGGTTAAAGCAAAACCGAAACCCGAAAACCCAAACACCTAAGAATACGGGTTGAGTTCTATTCATTGGAGGTTTTTAGCCAGAACCCAAAAAATCGATAAGAAAAACCGAACCCGAAACCAAAAAACCCGAAACCCGAAACAAACCCGAACCCGTAAAACCAAAAATTATAATCAGTCGGTTTCGGGTAAACCCAAAAAACCGAACCTGAATGGACACCCCTAATCAAGATATATCATCGAAATAGATATCTCAAAATATTCCGACCAACGAACGGGTATAAGCTAGTTCTCTCATATTTTACAAAGTAATAATGGCCACCCTGACCAGGGCCACAGCCACACCCACCAACCACCAAATTATTAGTAAATACATAAATTAAAAATAATTTTGAAAACAGAAACGTAAAAAGCTTGCCTACATGATTCACTTTCCCAATTTAGTCCTTTCTTTCCCCCTCGAAACTCCGATCGTAATCCCTTTCTGGGGCAGTTCATATTTTCTCCGGCATCAGAGCTCACTGTCTATCTCCACCATTTTATTGGTGTTTTCCCTTGATTCGATGCATGTGTGAAAATTGCTTTCCGATTTTCCTTCGATGTTCCTAATCACTATCACCAGCATAGTCTCTTCAGGAAGTCTACCATCACCAACATCGTTCCTTTCCCACCCGGCGTTTGATCTCTATGAGGAATAAAAATCGAGATCTCTACTGCCGACATCATTGATAATGATCATCACCATTTGCGCCATTGTTGCCGCCGGACCTGATTCCTTTAGATTTTTGTCGTTTCCATGTCGCCGCTGCTGGATGCGGACCATGCGGTGAAGCACTTTGTTTTCAGTTCGCAACAATGAATCAAGACGCATATGATGAGGATATGTACGGATTTTGGCAGTAGATGTGCTTTTTGGTAATGAATTTCATAGATGGTTGAAGTGGGGAGACTACATATTCGTCGAGTAAGGGTTTTGCATGCTGATTAAGGTCTAATTCTAGTCACCGCTAGTTTATTTGTGGAGCATTGAATTTGATTTAACTAATTATTTAATTATTCTGAAGTGGTCATGTTTTTTTTCGTGTTACTTTAGGAGTACAATACTGATGGGTAGGGCAGTCTATAAGCCTGTCGAGATGATGTATTTATTTCATTGTTGTGGGTTTAGTAGCTGAATGCATGGGTTTGGTAGGATGAGCGACTTATGTTGTTTGTGTTGGTGGCTTGCTTACTCGGAGTCGTAGATGATCCGTCGCAGTTTTCTCTTCTTATATCCATCATTGGTATGGTTGCTATTGAATTCTTCTTCAGAGCTCTTTTCTCCCAGCTTGTCTCTGAAATGCAAGTTTCTTCCTCACTGACTTCATCATCGGTGTTGTCCTCGTAGTTTCGCCTTCTCTTATCTCTTGTGTGTTTTCCCTTTTTGTTGTGCTTGATTCTGTTGTTGGTCTGTTTAGTTTATGTAAGTTGTTGGTTGTCTCTATTTTGGAGAGTAATTGGGATTTTTTTGTTAATGTGAACAGTGCAGTACCTTTTTTTGCTTGCACTTGGTTTTTGTAATTTTGTGTCTGCTTCTTTTCTCATTGCTGCTTTAGCTTGTTTGTGATGTATCTGTTTCTTGCTCGCTATCAGATCCCAGGTACTTTGCAGCATGTCATCTAGTTTTTTTTAGGTGATTTGTTCCTCTTTTTTGGTGGCTTGTACCTCTGTGTTTGCTTCCGACCTGCATGTATTGGTAATATTTTTGCATTCATCCCATGTGCCTAGCGTACATAGATTTTATGAGATTGCATTAGTTCAGCTTACCATAACAATCTTTGCTTCTTTCTTTCCTGTCTTTGTATGTTTAGGCTTGGCAATTGTGGAGATTGCAAATTGGTTGTTCACATTCCTCATGTTATCGGTCAGCTTGATTGTGAATTGGAGTTCCTCGCCCACCAAGTTGAGTATCATCTCTGGGGTTTTGCGTCCTTTCCTGGATGCCCTTTTGTATAACTCGCTTGCTGGTGTCTTTAGGTAATTCTCTCCTGCAAGATCGAGTAATAGAAACTCTGCTTCCCCAGACTCATCTTGGACTAGTAGCTTGACATGGTACCTGCAATCAATTTTTGGTAAAATGTTTCTCTAGTTTCTATTAATTTTGTTATTTATGCTTTATTTTATCCTCACCTTCTGGTTGCCAATGATGTTGTGGTATCACAGTTGCTGCAATAGTATTCCGTTTCTGGCTGGTTTCTGTCTCTTTATCTCTTCCACCTTTCTGGGACACTCCCAACAAACTATGTAGCTCCAACATTCTCTAATGCCTGTGATTGTGCGTGTAACATGATAGCTCTTGTCCTGGAGACATGATCATATTGTGTTTAGTTGGTTACCTTCTTTGATGCCTATATTATTGAGTGTGTTTCATTGGTTACCTTGTTGCTTTGTTCTTCTTTGTGCCTTTGCAGCTCTTCTATTGTTGCTTCTTGGATCTCTGGTGGGGATGGCTGCTCTATCATAATGGGTGGTTGGTTGGTGATGGGTGCCGCATCATTTCCTGCGCTATTAATTAGTTCTTTGATCTCTGGTATGTCTAAGTGATCATAAATTTTTGTTGTTGTGCTTCCCGAGAGATGGATTTCACCTGTTAACATTTGTGGGGTTAGTTGATGCATTTTTTTTGCAATATAATGTCTTAGGTTAGCTTATTGTACCGTTGTGGCTGTTCACATAGATGATGGTGATCACCAACAGAACTGGTTCTTGGTGGTTCTTGTCAATCACCCTGTCGAACTCTTCTATTGTCTTTCCCCAATTTGTGGCTCTGATTGTTCTTCCCCTGTTTCAATAAAAAATGTAGAATTTTGGGTTGTTAGTGTTTGGTATGTTGAACCATTTTCATTACCTTCCTTGTCAGGTTGTGGTTTTGAAAAGTACTGTGGTAGCTGTATCGTCAAGTCCTTGCGCACTCTTTTAATTACTCCATAGTGTGTCTCAATGTTGTTTGAGTACACCCGCAGCTGGCATATTGTATCTGTGGGTTTGTGTTGCAGCATAATGAAAAAATATATTAAATCAAAAAAGTCATTTGTAGCATGTTTTTAATGTGTTTAATATGTTATCTAATATGATTTATTTTTTCCCCTTCAGCTTGTCTATTTGTTCTTCAAGGAAGAAATCAAATTTGTACTTCTGGATGTTCACCATTGTGTTGGTTGGTTGGATTTTTGTTGTCCTTTTGAAAACTATGACCAATGGTTCCTTGATTGGTCTGAATTCTCCTGTTGCTTCCTTAACTCTGAAATTTCTAAAAGTATAGACGTCTTGTTCTTTAATCTGCCTTTCGAAGTTGTTCATGAAGGATCTTGGAATTTGTACATGGATGTCGCGTCCCTGTTTGACGATATTAGGGTGTTGTGTCAGCAGATGATGAATACAATTGAATGTGATCTTGAGGAAGTGTTTCTGTTACCTTCGTGTCAATGAGGATTAAATCTAAATGCCTTACAACATTGGAGTTTATGTTGATGGTCTGCCACTTTTTTGACACTCTAGCAAGGACAGTCCCATTCTCGTTCTCGTTCTCTGTGCTTAGCCTGTCAATTGTGTGGTCTTCCATGGCCTGCAATTTGTGGAAATTTTGCGTTTAGTATGCATTTTAATTGTGTGCTTTTTTGGATTTGTTGGGAAAGGACACTAAGTAATGTATATTGTTAGGCGGGATCGTACCTTTTGTTGCAGGGTGGTCGTGTTCTCTGCATTTTTTGCTGGGCAGAGTTCCAAGGCAGGTGCTGTCAAATTGCTGCGGGGGTTGGGATACTATGCTAACCCCTAAAGGGGTAGTGATTTTCGACACCCCTTTATGATTGGCCAATTTTATTTCCAATCATTGGCAAGTATTAATTAAACTGGTTTTTTATTTTTTTTAATCTTGTAATTTGGAGTCTCTCACCCACATTGGAAAGGAAAAGAATATGGGGAATCAGAAAAAAGCTCCCCCCCAAATGTGCAATTAATTGCCTTTTTTTCTTCCTTTCGTCTCCTTCTCTCTCCATTTGGGCCCTCTTTCCATTTTGATTTCATTTTAACCAGAACCCTCCTCTACTCTGAAACGACCAAAATCCTCCAGCGCCTTCCCCCACCACCATCCTCCTATCTCCAGCTGCCGCCATTCTGGGATCGCCTCTGACCTACCTTGTGGATTGCTCGCACCAGTGGAGTGGTACGTGTACCAGTGGAGTGGTACTGCATTGTTGCTCCGTTATTGTTTATCATTGTTAAGAAAAATATCATTGCACTGGTATTGTTCTCACTCTAACCTACCTTGTGGATTGCTCGCACCAGTGGAGTGGTACGTGTACCAGTGGAGTGGTACGTGTAATTAATGTACCAGTGAGAGAAATTAATTATGTAATTAATGGGGGTGATTTCGTTTTTCCCCAGATTCTTTCTCTTTTCCAATGTGGTGAGAGACCCCAAATTACAAGATTAAAAAAAAATAAAAAACCAGTTTAATTAATACTTGCCTATGATTGGAAATAAAATTGGCCAATCATAAAGGGGTGTCAAAAATCACTACCTTTTAGGGGTAGTCAAGCTAACCGATCCCTGCTGCGGGTGTATGATGGGTTGTGGGTTATGCTTTGGGTGGATTTTATATGTTAGTTTTTACAGGTTGTCTCTCTATTTCATGGTTGTTTTAATGACCATGCAATCATTGCTCTTTGTAGTCGCTGCTTAGGTTTTGTCCATTGGTATTTTTCAATTTGGTTATGTCGATTGGTCTTTTGCATTTAGGACTCTTTTAATTGGGCTATTATTATGAGTTTAATGCCCTAAGATTCCATTATCTTTAATCCTTTGTTCTTTATGTGTCCATCAAATTACTTAAAATTATTTATTTGTTTTTGTTTAGTTTGGTGGTTACTAACAGGATTATTGGCTTGGGGCTGCCGTTGCATATTCAATGCTCAATCTCTATTTTGGAGACTTTTTTATTTTATATTAGAGTCCTTGCTTGTAACTTGTAAGTGGCGTAGAGTGGCATTTATATTTTAGGTTCTGTTGAACTTCCTAACAATAATGATCATGTCTTTATTTAAGCTACTAATTATCTTTTGGTTCTATGGGAAGTATTTATATGTTAGTTTTTTCAAGTTCTCTCTCTATTTCATGGTTGTTTTAATGAGCATGCAATCATTGCTCCTTGTAGTCGTTGCTTAGGTTCTGTCCATTGGTATTTTGCAATTAGGTTATGTCGATTGGTCTTTTACATTTAGGACTTTCAATTAGGCTGTTATTATGAGTGTAATGCCCAAGGATTCCATTATCTTTATTCCTTTGTTTTTATGTGTCCATCAAATTACTTGAAATATTTTATTTGTTTTTGTTTAATTTGGTGGTTACTAACAGGACGATTGGCTTGGGGCTGCCGTTGCATATTCAATGCTCAGTCTCTATTATGGAGACTCTCTTTTTATTTTATATTAGAGTTCTAGCTTGTAAGTGGCGGAGAGTGGCATTCATATTTTAGGTTCTGTTGAATTTCCTAACCATAATGATCATGTCTTTGTTTAAGTTACTAAGTATCTTTTGGTTCTATGGGAAGTCTGTGGTGGTGTTATCATTTTTTTATTCTAAGATCTATGTTATATTGTCCAAATATGATATAACGATGATTCATATTTCATATAAATGGCCATGTATTTGTGTTGGTTGGTTTTGGGTATATTGGATTTGAATTTTCATTTTAAATTGTTTTTAGTGATGCAAGCAAATCGTTGTTCAAATAGTCATATGATATCAGAACATTAATTTCAAGGTCACCCCTACTGGCGTCCTTTCCTTTTCCATTTTCCTTTTTATGTTAGGTGGAAAGTAGATGGAAAATAGTTAACCAAGAGAATAAATTAATGCAATGGTTTTTGTTGTAATTAGCGTTTGTTTTTTGGAACCACCAAACAAAACAATATGAGGTGACCTTCCAAATACTCATTTATGTAATTTTCGAAATATGAAAGCACATTTTGATCAAGAAAAGAAGAAGAAATATGAAAGGACTTAATAGAGATCTACCATCCTTGTCGCCAATGTTCTACTACATTGATTGTGTCTTTTTCATGAACGGGCACTCCACATTATGCAAATATTTCTTTGTATACTATATTTTGCATCCATGATTGAGGTTTCTCTTATTGGTCACAACTAAGTATCTTCAACCCAGTTCTGGAAGTAACTCGTGATAGAGCAACATACAGTTGTCCATGACCGAAGACTTGCTGTGGTAAACACAATCCCACCTTTTGTAGTGATTGCCCTTGACTTTTGTTGATTGTCATTGCATAACACAATGCAATAGGGAATTGCCTTCTTGACAATGTAATATTAAGACTTGGGTACTCCGTGGCTAGAATCATGCGAGGTAGAAAAATCACGTCGCCGACATGTGATCCAGTAATAACTTCCGCTTCAATGAACCATTGTCACAGTCTTCTAATGATCATTCATGTTCCATTGCATAACCCGGATGATTGATCTACATTTCTAAGCAGAATCACTGGGACACCAATCTTCAGTTTGATCTCATGATCGGGGAAGCCTGGTATTTGCAAGGAATTTAGCACCTCCGCAGAGATTTTCGGGTCTTGGCTCTTTGGCTTTCCTTTTTCATTCTCGAAAAAATCTGAGCTGAGATATGTAACTTGTTCCCTTGTAATTTGTGATAACATATACTCATTCAGTTTATTGACCATTTCATGATGGGGCGCTAGAATAGCTCGACTCGCCAAATAATCTTTGTTGTCATGATTATCCCCCAGGTTTGGGTATGTTGCCTTGATAATGTCAGAAATTGGATCCCCATGCCGCGACACCATTAAATAAGTTGGAATCGAAATATTGGCTTCTCCGAACACTGAGCAGTTGTTGCCATCTCCAATTTCCATAATCCATTTACTGAAAGTTGCAATTTCTTTGAGCTCTGATTCTGAGCAATAAGTTTGTCGCAATCTCATATTTTGAGTGAGCCTCGGGACTTGTAGATGTTGCCAAAGGTGTGACATTTTAAAGGATGCTGAAACAATATCGGCACGGGTTCCTTTTTTAATGATTGGTAGGGTTGTCGGAAGTCCCCACCAAAAATAACTGTCATTCCTCCAAATGGTATCGCTTGACTATCTTTGTTGCGAGATCTGAGAATATCTCTCAAAGTACGATCTAGTGCTTCAATTGCATTTTTGTTTGCCATATGAGCTTCAGCCCATATTACCAAAGAAGTATTTTGTATTAGCTGAGCAAGATCAGTACCTTGATAGATGTCACAGGAGGATGTTGACGTCAAATTTATAGGAATGCGAAACTTTGAATGTGATGTTCGTCCTCCATCCATCAATAGAGCTGCTATTCCTGAAGTGGCAACGCAAAGGACTATCCTCCCCTCAGAACGTAGCTTTGCGCTAATTACTTTCCATAGAAAAGTTTTGCCCGATCCACCAAATCCTTTAACAAAAAAGCATTTCCCTGTGTTTGAATAGATAGACTCCATAATCTGGTCATATGCAATTTGTTGTTCTTCGTTCAATTTCGGATAATTTTCTTGGAATTGAATATTCATTTCGGTCTTGTTGTAGTTCAACTCCGCTGCTAGCAATCGGTTATTTCTAGTTGACACGTTACTCTTTGGGGAAGGCATACCTGGGCATGAAAAAAATACTTGGTGAAAATTTAAGATAAAAATGTTATAGAAATTGTTATTATAAAATATATCAAACAACACAAATGATTACATTGTCCTTTTGCATACAGTTTATTTAAGTTATGTTAACTCTTTGAGAAAGGTATATATAGTATTAGCCAAATATTTGGTAAACATATAAGTTAAAATATCAAAAAACATTATTAATCTAGAATATAACGCACAAATAAATAAGCTACATTGTCCCATTACATAAAGTTCACTTTGAATGGTATTTTTCTAAAAATGTATGAAAATAAAATTCATTTCTATAGCTATACCTGGAATATCAGGCAAAGATTTGCCGATGACGTGGAATAGTTTCTCCAGTTCTATAAGACATAACTCCTTTATTTCATCTTCGGATAATTTAAATTGTGGTTGATTGAGGAGGCGCCTCTGGCTATGTAGGATATCATCACTAAGCAACTCCCAATTTTTTTCCCATAGGTCTTTCACATTTGATACTTGAGAATAAGCCACCATGGTGACAAAGATTCTTTTCATTTTTGCTCTCGATGCCCATGTAAATACCTCCTTTAAGCAATCATGCCATTCATCATCTTTAGCCAAGAAACCCAGTGCATAACATGCTGATTTAAAGGTGTGATGCAAAACACCGTTAACTGTTCTAATTTCTTCAAAGGATTTACACCCTTTGACATTGTGTAGTAGCAGGCGCAAATAATATCTTTCGTTCGAGGAAGGATGCGCATAGTACAATCTCCCAATACATCCCTTGTTTTTTCTTCTCCTCCACTCTTTGTTTCTTTTATCCCAAACATAATGTTGTGGGAACTCGACAAATGTGTATTGTCTTGCACTATGATCTTTGGAATTCGTTTCCATCCACGCCAATAACAGTCTTTTTTCCATCTTCTTCATCTAATACCTCGTCTATTGGTTTGTCTTCATCATAGGTGACAATTTGCTCACCAGGAAGATGAAATCTCATTCTATGAACTGATGGATAGTGATGATGAATATCAAACTTGAAGATTCTCTAACAGGCTTCAGCTGCTGCTAGATATCGACAGTCTAAGAATGCTCTAATTTCATCAATATCCATGTGTGTCTTTGATTTGTTTCCCCCTTCATCTTTTTCGTCTCTTTCCTCAACTATTGTTTCCCTTGCTTTATCAGGCGGTTTGTTAATGTATTTGAACAAATATTTAATTGATCTGCATGATAAATATTTTTTTAAGTTCGCGGGAAAATAATTTGTATATATATAAAGTATTGAATGAATAAACGAAAACTAACCTGTTCTTATTACAAAATTCAACGTTGATATGAGCTTGGAACCGCAGGAGGAGGTATCCGTTGTAGGGCACTATGTGTCAATTATCAAGTCGAACACCATTTCGAATTATGCAGCGGCCATCATCTCTCAGGCGATATCTTGGAAACCCATCATCAACCATTATTGTTTGTGAGCAATAACTTTTGAGGAAATGCCTAGAACATTTTCATTCTGATGTACAACTTGCTTTTGGGTTGGCATTTCCACATGGCCCATGAATCATGTATTTTACAACAGCTGCATAACAATCAGGATCTGTATTGATGTCTGGGATCTTTGCCTGTATAATTGAATCAATATCCTGTGGTGTGATAAGTTTGTCTTGTTGCGCCAAGAATACCAACATATGAGCATGAGGGAGGCCATGTTTATGAAATTCTATGACATAAATATCTACAAATAAGATGGATAAGATATTAGTTAGAATTTGGAAAGGAACTTTACATTCATTTGCTAATGTGAAATATTTTAGAAGGGTACTTTGGAATTTTATTGCAAAACCATGTAGAAATGATGTAGCTCAATAATGAATACTTGTTGGAACTTTTAAATTGGACTCTGCCAAATATTAAAGAGAGAATATTACAAATTCTATTACTGGAGCATCAAATGATCCAAAGTAGTTAAAGGATTGTGGTTTGAATTGTAAGCGGTTGCATTAATGAGCAAAAAAAAAAAAAACTTACGTGCACAGGTTTGGCCGAAGATCTTTTGGTGCTTGATTTCATAGAGAAGCTGGTCTAGTTTCAGCTTGAATACTCTTGCGGCAATGTCAGCTCTGTGAATGTCTTTTCTACCAGATACTTTAACCAAATCACTCATGAATTGGATTTCTGGACCGTTGGAGTTGCAGGTGAAAGTTAAGAATAAATCGGGATACCCTATCCACCGTCATATTGCCATAGCATCCTGAAAATTCTCATACTTGTACCTCGGACTGCCAGTATGTAAAGAGCTAAGAATAATATGTTTTCCAGTTAATTCAGTATTGGAATCCCCCTGTAAAAAAGCATCCATCAAACCTTTGAAGTAACTTGTTCGAAGCTTCCTTTGGTTGTTCCTGATCCAATCAAGACTCACTGTTTCAATTAAAGCATATGCATTCACCACATATTGTTGGAATAGCTTGCCAGAAAGCAACAAAGTGTGACCTTCATCTAATCGTGTTTGTATTCTGTATGCATAAAAATTGCACTGAGTTAGCATCTTCCCATCATCATTGTCGTCTCCTTCTTGCTCATATAGTTCAATGTCACTACGCCAACCATCCTCTCCATAAGGGAAAAGCAGAGGATATTGTAGAGACATTAAGCTTGGATGGTATATACTAATCCTCTCCAAGTCGTTGCTCTGGTGTTCAACAATAATATCTTGCTCGTAAGTCGTTTGCCCCGTATCATTGACAATAAGAGAAGCCACTTCATCACCCGTTGGAAGATTATATTCTCGACCATCTGATTTTCTATTGGCCAGTAGCTTCAACTTTAGATGTTGGACGTCGCTTGCAGTAATTTTGTCTTTAGCATATCTAAAAGCTTGGGCAAAGATGTTGTGCTCGTCCAGCATTTCTGTCAACCCGACAATAATATCTTCTTGTAAAGGATTCAAATTCTCGCCCGTAATGATAGAATGGAGCCGATTCTCAATTTCTTTCTCTGTTTGATGAATGTATAGTTGTGCAAACTTTGAAGTTGAGCCAACAGGTGGTAGCAGACTGCCAATTCGATGATAAATTTGGCCCCGATAGAAAACACGTATGGTCCCCTCCCATCATTCAAGCTATGATCAATCTTTTCGCCCATAGAACTGAAGCAAAAAACACCATTATATAATCTGATGCATTCAAGAAAATACTTTGCAACTTTACTATCTGACTCAAGTAAATCTTTAAGGAATTGAGGAGGTTGTCGACCAGCAGGAAGTTTGACTTTCCCTTGTCTACAACAAAGATTGAATTTTGGAGTAGTAGAGTTTTTCGATCGGGATGTTCTTTCCTCTTTCCACATAATAGCAGCACAATACTGACATATACTTGAAGGAGGTCCAAGTGAGAAAACTTTAACATGTCTAGCAGCTATGAAAAAAAAAACTTGTATTACTTAAATGAAAGAAAAGTGCAATTTCAATTTGGTGAATATATATATTCTAAGAGCTTACCTAATTCAGCTTCCAAAAATAATGGATTCGTTTTATTTTTTGAAGCAATTATTTTTAATTTTCTAGACATCCGCTTCATTTTAGCATTTAGTTTCTCGAGTGAGTAGTCACCACTTGTAATTTAAGTATTGCAAGGGAGTTGTTAGAATAGTCAAATGATGTCTAATATTATAGAAAATTAATGACGTAGGAATATTGGAAAAAAAGAAGTGAGTAACCGACCATCACATTTAATTACCTATCGATGTCCAAGATCCTAATAAGCCAAAACGCTTAGAAAATAATGTATGCCGACGTCTCATCCTAGCAGTTTTAGCGATTGTAGACCGTGCTCTCTTTAATTCGCATGAAAAATAATATTTAGCTAAAAATGGAAAATTCTAATTAGCGAGACACAAATATATAAAAAGAATTAATATTTTTTAGGTGAAGAAAACCATGCAAATATTTAGTACCTTTATCTAAATCCCACAAAGTTTGCATGGTATCGGTTGTCCTTGCAATTTTGAAAGAGGAAGGAACGATGTCCTTTGCAGTAGCCTTTCGTTTGTTCATTTACAAGTAGAGCAACTGTTCCGATACATAAAAAAATGAAATAACTAATTAATTTAAGAGGTGAAGTATTTATCTTTATCTGATTGCAAATATATTCAAGATATGACTGTTTTTGATGATTAATAGTATTCATATATTCCTATTTACACGTAAAATGTAGGATAAAAGTATATGTGTCAATTTGCTAAAAAGTATAGGGGAACAATTAAAGAAGAAAAATATAGTAGAACTACTAACAATAATATAGGAGATGCTAACATGAGGCAATTATTTCATCCCAACATTATTAAATTAGAGATGTAAAAATATTGGAGTAGGGATAACGAATAAGAAAAACTATGATGGAACCCAAGATGACAATGCGAAATAATAAGATTAGTTCAAAAGAGAGCAATAGGTAAAATTATAATGGAAAAACCGAAGTTTTCATATATACATAATTGACAATATAACATCAAACAAAGCATTCGAGTAGAATGAAAAATTACCAATTTTTACTTAGTTGAAGCAGATCTTTATACAAAGTCGTAACCAACGTTCATGTCTAATTGTGATGGTGCGGTTTGCTTTGATATGTAATTGTAGTAGGCTAGTGTGGAGAAACACTCATTTGTTTTGGCTATGGATTTTTATAGTTGTTTTGGCTACTACTCCATACACTCCTTTATTGGATTTATAATTATTTGTTTACATTTATTGGACGTATAACTATTTTTCTTAGGTTACTCACCGCTGGTGTCTTAAATATAAAAGAGAGGTGGTTGATAATGGATCATTGCTTTGAAGTTGAGTGGCCAAATGGATGAAGAAAGTGGATGTATCTCTTGGAAAAACACACTGACAATGCAATCAATTGCATATTAACCACCAATGTAATTAATGTCAGATTTTTTATATGCAATTAACGTCTTCAATAGGGAAACGTAGAAGTGAACAAAAGGGCTATTAGTAGGTGGGAAGACAATTAATTAGGGGTCCAGATCGGGTCAGTAACCCATCAGTAACCCCTTCTATGGTCCCCACGTGTCAGATACTTTTTTATTTAAATTAAATATAAAAAGGGCAGTACAGTAAAATTGCACTTTCTCCTATTTATTGCTGAGGCTGACTTTTGACCGTACCACATCAGCGCCTCCTTCTCTCTCCTCGCAAAACATTTAATTTTTCTTTCCTTAATCTTTAACGGACGATTTCTCACTCGTTTTAAGTCGAAATTTAATTTTTTTTGCACAGTTAAATCAAATTAATTGTGCTCTTCAAAATGATATTCACTTTGATATTTTTTGGACACAAAAAAATTTGTTAGTTATAACCAGTCTATACCATATGGTATTGACTGGTATTAAATAAGAGCATACCATATGGTATGAAAATTTTTGCCACTTGAATATATATTTCGTTACTACCATATAGTATAGTGTGGTAATATCAATATATATTTTGTTACCACCCAATACCATATGGTATAGTGTGGTAATATCAATATTTATTTCGTTACCACCCAATACCATATGGTATAGAGTGGTAATACTAATATATATTTTGTTACCACCCAATACCATATGGTATAGTGTGGTAATATCAATATATATTTCGTTACCACCCAATACCATATGGTATAGAGTGGTAATACCAATATAGATTTCGTTATCACCCAATACCATATGGTATAGTGTGGTAATATCAATATATATTTCGTTACCACCCAATACCATATGGTATAGTGTGGTAATACTAATATATATTTCGTTACCACATAATACCATACGTTATAGTGTGGTAATACTAATATATATTACCTAAAAGAAAGGGGAAAAAACAAAAGGAGGGAGAGAAAAAAAAACTTGTCTTCTGTCTCATCTCATTTCATCCGCAACCAAAGAACACCAAACGCCAAAAAAGGAGAAAGATCAAAATTAAAGCCAACGAGTTGATGAAGAGAAGAAACGCAATTAAAGAGGGTGACTTTAATTTTTATTAGTCGATTGCTAGAGAAAAAAATAAAGATGGAAGAGAGCATATCTAGATTTGAAAAGGAGATTGTGAGAGAAAAAGTAAGAGAGAAGGAATAGAGAAAGGATCTGGAAAGAGATTGGAAAAAGGAAGAGAGAAAGAAGAAAATAGAGTTGCAGAGGAACGATTATTCTTTCTCTTTCATTGAAAAGTCAGCCATTGAAATAGACAAAAATGCACATCCCCACCTCCGCGTCTAGCCAACCACCAGATTGCTCCATCCCCAGATCTACGGTTCCCGTGTATTTATTGATAGGTCAGTAACCATTGGTTACTGACCCTATCCCAAACCTTAATTAGAGGACAAAAAGGGGAAACTTTTTTAATTGAGCCAAAATAGGGGAAAATAGGGAAAGCTAGTAATAAATAACATAAAATCTTTAAAGTCACAGTATTCCATATCTATGTTGTTAGTTGTGGGTGTTTCGTTTTCCCTTTATTCCCGTGTTTTTTTATGTTAATTTTTGTAACTTCTAATTATTTAACGTGGCAAGAGGATTTGTTTGGACTAAAGCCTCTAACATTAATCTATA